TTTCCTACTCCAGTTCTACCGCGGTTAGTGGATCCTTCCCACAGCATTACAGTGAGTTTCCTAGTGTTAAACTACAAGAAATTGGTCTCCAAAAAAACTGCTTTGTTATTTCTTCTACCCCATTTGTGGGTCATGAGCTGTATTGCATTACATTCTGTGCAAGTAAAGTCAAACTTGTACATATTGAATATCCAGTATATGTAACCAATAAAGTTTTTCTATTTATGGAATAATCCAAATCCTTGCTTTTACTAAATCAAAACCCAGAGTATAATAAAATCTCGACTACGTCTGCTGTTTGAAAGTTTGCCCATAAATAGTTCTCAAATACTCTACTTAATGGTGTTAAACGCTTCGGGAAATACAGCTCTACTCCTCTTAAATTAGTATTACTTTTTCACAACATAACCCAATAGACAAATGATGACATTAATGTGTGGCTTTTTACTTTCCAATCGTTCAAAGTACACATTCTCGTACTAAAGTACGATCATCACTAGTTTAAACTAATCTTAGTATTGTCTAATAACACCAGAAGTGGTAAAATACTAAATTCCAAGCAAGACATATGAAAGTCTAACCTATAAATAAAAATATGAACTTCCATCTATGACCACTGCAATACTAAATATAGACCCAAGTCTTTCAATATTCAGTCGAAATCAAGGTAAAATTAGAGGTCTGGTCATGTAGTGAATTTGTAGTTTGGACAATTCTAAAACGCTTCTTCAATTGGATTTCCGCCGCAATGTATATTAGAGTATTTTCATCTCAAAAGACTGCCTTTTACTTGTTCAACATGGGAAAGGCTTTGAAATGGAGACAAATGGCATTGAAAAAGCAAAGTGGGTTAAAGATGTAATAACGACGGTTGTGCATGTCAGAGATAAGAGAACCGTCAACAAGGATATTTAGAGCAAGGTATAGTTAAGTGGGAAGTACAGAAGGAGAATAAAAGCGGAGGGTGGTTTGTGAGTTAACGTGTAGCTATACCTTCTTTAACGAGTCACCCGTCCGATTTCTCAGGACGTCTGAGTCCTCCGTTTTCTTTCCATCTTAGAGTGCACCCGAGACTTCCTTGTTCCTAAAGCCCCGTCCACACGATCGAGCAGTGCCCGGCGGGCTTTGACCCTTTACCGGGCAAAGCTTTTGTGTGTTGTACACACGGGGGTGATTGGCGTCAGTCATAGTCGGGCGCTAGTAAGTGGTCTGCAGTGGCGGATACGCTACGATCGCACGAATAATCGCCCGACAGTGAAAAGCAAAGATCATATCGTTGTGTACTATAATAATTGCTGCTATGTGCAAATGCAGAAAAAGGGGATGGTGGTTAGGTCGGAAAAAAGTATTGAAGTCATGCCACCATTTTACGTGAACGGCAAGATGGACACGAGCGAGACATGACAAAGGACTCTAACACCTTTTACAAATTTCGAGCGAAAGTGCAACCATATATAAAAAAAACCAGGATACCAATATGAGGGAAAGTATATCTCTAGAGGCAACGCTTGTATATCTTTCAACTGGTATGCACCTACACGTCACGAGGATATCGAAACAAAGTTTGTCTCGCATAATACCTGCTATGAAGTACTCGAGGAAGATTACTTGCAGGTGAGATTTGTAATCCATAAAAATGGATTGAGTTATGATATGCATAAACAGGAAGCTATGGGACGAGAACGAAGAACACACACGAATGTCCTCATTACATAAACAATCTCCTGTCACGCCAATATTGTACATTGCATTTGGTTATACACTGAGCGGGGAACACGTACGTATAACATTTGTAATACTTATATACCACCAGGCAGGCTGACCATGATTTCGCTCAACGACGGGCCTTTAATATAACGACACAGAATTGGAAATTGCAACAGTGGTGGTATATGTTAAGGCAACTTAGATATCTGATTATAGTTGGAACATCCATTAAGTGATGGTGAAAGCTTCAACTGTCTTTGTTGTTAGTAAAACTACACGAGTGGCTTGTCCTTGGGGATAGCCAGATGTTTCCAAGTACTACTGAAATTAGATCATTTGGATGCCCGAACGTCAAATCGAATTTACCAACCGTATTGAAACACTTTTCTCACACACTGTACCGCCAACTCTGACCTGCACACACTACCCATGGGCAGCCAGCCTCTTTGTGGGGTGGCGAGTGAAACGAGCCTAAACATCTGGGAGTTCCGGGGGAGCTGTAAGCCCCCCCCCGGGAAAATATTGAAATTTGAACACTTCTTTGCAGAATTTGGAAGCCATATGCAGTTATATTGAGGAAATTAAAACATTGAGACATTTTTCATTAACTGTATATTTATTGATAGTGTACAAATTCCCAACACACACAAAAGTGAGACATGACTGGAGTCATTCGTGTGGTTTCAAGTCGACCAGCCCTGATATGTAGAGAGGCCCTGCTCACGAAAGAGGAACTTAAAAGTAGCCAAAGCTGACATTTTTTTAAACCAAAAGGAGATTCAGAGCCCAGTGACAGCAAACTCCCAGAGGATGACACAGTAGAGGTTCACTTTAGTGATTCGGATGACGAAACGAGGTCAGCTGAGATTAAGTAAATCGCCACCTACAGCAATGCAAGTACCGTAGTGGATACTCTCCTACAAACTGACGAGCCTAGCCGCATTCCAATGAGACGGGATTCGGCGACTTTCTCACGGGGGTGGGGGGGGGGTCGCCACCTGCGACGCTGGCATCCGGGTTTACTTCCGGTAGCCGAGTGTATGACCTCTCGGTCTCGCCGTTGAAATTCATTCTACCCTACGTTCCTGAACACGCCGCGTCTCGTCTCCTCTTCCAAGCACCAACTTCCCACCACCAGACTCTTTTGTATATAATATATTTTATAGAAGAAAACCACCATTAAGAGTTCCCTTTCTCCAACCTGTGACTGAAGCTTCGTCCGATTCATCTCAGTTGAATTATAAGAAACATTCTATGGAACCGGTGTCGAGTGATCCGGCTGACAGTTGATGATAAACCGATTGACTATTTACTAAATCATTCTCTTGATCTAAATTGTGAACAAGGTCACTTCTCAACAAGTGAAAAGGAAAGAGTTCGGTATGTGCCCAAATCCTTGTGTATTCTCCAAAAACTGGAGATGTATTTTGCGTTTAGCGACTGGAAAAACTGCCGGCGTACAGTTGCCGAACGTGAAAGTGGCAGAGAGCATCAAATTTCAGTTGGGGTGTGAGGGCAATTACAGCAAGGCGAATTCATTCCACTTTGGCTTTGCAACTACAATTGGAGAGAAAATAATGCAAAGAACGTCTATTGCGCATAGTTGAAACACTACAAATTTTAACATCGAGAGGTCTTCCTCTCAGAGGTAGTGATGAAAGAATAGGCTCTAGCAACAATGGCAATTACCTTGCAACTCCTGGCCAAATTGGACACTTTTCTTGCACAGCATCTGGTGCTGTGCAAACACTTCATATCTCTCAAAAACGATTTGTGACCAAATGGTCAATCAATTATCATAAGTGAAGTGAAACGAGACAAATATTAGTCAGTTAGTGTAGATTCCACACCGGATGTTAGTCATACTCACCAACTTACATTCATAGTTGAGCGATTTTTATAACTTCATAGACATATACATGACCATGGTGCACAGAGCATAGCCTCAACTATTGTACAGTTAATTACAGAAGTTCGTCTTGAGGGCAGAGTTATGACAATGCTGCCAATATGTCAGCCATTTACACTGCCAGAATAAAGGCTGGCATATTACGTCCCTTGTGCAGGTCACTCCTTGAACCTTGTAGGAACATCAGTTGCCTTGGGTCTCTTTCAAATTCCGGATTTTTGCAAACCTTATACAACTACTTCTCAACCTCCACATATAGTTGGGATCATCAGCTGCACTACCGGCTGAAGGGATTGTAGCGAAATCCCTTTCACAAACTGGCTGCAGTGTTTTTACATTACCTTGAGATAAAGTCAGCACTGGAGAACAAAATATGTTCCGACAGTAGCTTCAAGGTCAAGGCCTCATAAGACGAATGCAAGCATTTGAAACACCACTTCTTGCTGTAAAATAGTATCAAATCTTAACAAGGTTTAATGCAACCAGCTTATCACTTCAAAAAGTTCACACCCACCTTCTGTCAGTTGTGAAACTGTATGAGAGCTTGATCATCTTCGTCTCAGAAATGAGACGGGGTCAGTTGGATGAAATAGAAGATCAGGCCGAGCCTGTCTACAACGACAACAAAAAAGAGAAAACATTTCTTGGATGAATCAGTTGGCACTGAAACTCAACTTGATCCAAGGTGGACAATTTCTACACCATATTACGAATGAATAGAAATAAAGAAGCGGTTTACCTTAACGGAGTATGACACCATTGGCTGTCAGTACCTATTCCAGTGACCTGGAAGCATCTGTTCTAGAGGAGTTTTTGCAATTTAAAGACATTTTCTCTTCTGAATCTGACAAGTCAGTGACAAGCCTTTCCAGATGGTATGTTGACAACTGCCTTTCCAAACATTAGTAGTAGTAGTAGTATCTTCGGGGACACCACTGAAAGGTGGAGACGGCCCCTCGGAAACACGTGGGCTCGGCGTCGGTCGCCGAGACAGTCTCAAAGCCGTGGTTTAACACCAGAAGCAGTTTTTCTATTTCATTCATTTTATCCACAAATGTTTGGATGATCGTAATAAAAATGATACAACTTTTTCTTTAATTTTAAGATTTTTTTTTCTCTATCTACGATCATAAATCACCCATAGCGGGCAGGGCACGAAACATGAAGGAAATTACGGGGTAAAACAACGAAACTCTGATCGTGTGGCAGTGAAGAAATACATTATTTACCATAAATGTTCGGCCAATATTTCTTTCGTGACGTTGCACGTTCGCGTCTCGTCGTAAACCGTCAATTTGTGATTTCGGTCTCCGTATACATTAAAAGCAAACGACGGAGGCTCTCGGCGGGGGGAATATTACGGGACATAATAAAAGAAAAAAGCTGGCCGGAGACAATCTTTTATTCTCACTTTGGTAACACAAATTGAAAAGTTTTATTCACAACATATTTAATTTAGAGTTGACAATAAATATCTTGTGTTGAAGACTTAATATGATATGTACAGATCCTATCTATCATCCATAGTCTGGCAACAAATTGCTCAACATCGCGCCGTTACATTTTCTGACGACGGAGATGAAATATGCAAGACGTAACAACTCTTGGCTTAGATAAACAATGTCTCATAAATGAGATACAGGTATATCTAAAAATGAATGGCGCCAAATAACGATGATTTGGCACCGACCGTTACACTAATGACATGCACTTGACCAAACAAACATTGTCACATCATGTGACATTAAATATGTACAGTACAGTTTACAAAAGTTCATTTACTGTATATGCCAAAGATGGCACTATGGTGTGGTGCAGTTTGGAGCAATAATTTAAATCAACCATTTCTGTTCCTATAGTACATTAATATTTGGAGGAGGGAGTTGAAATATAGGTTCCACTTCAAAAATCCAAAATGTTTCAGATAACTGAACTTGTTGGCTAACTCAAGGTCATTATTAAAAACCCTAATATTTCATTAAGCACCAAATAAAATACTACATATATGACAACTATAAACTAATATATAATACTGCATGTACAGGTATAACAAACACACTAAACTAAGGAACTCAAAATATAATGTTAACAATAATACAGGCCGTCCGCAACTTACAACAGGGATAAGTTCCTGGACCCATACTTTAGGTTACATAACATAAAGTGCTGTTAAACAATGATGAAAATAATGACAGTTTAATTACAACTTTTTGAGGTGAATGTATTGGGATCCCGTTCGTAAGTGCGGGTGACGGCGAGTCGGAGGGTGTAACTCAGTGACCGACTACGAGAAAATGCCCCGGTGATGATATCTTAGCTTAGTGTGCTGAAACGCCATCATCTGGCAGCGCGGTAAATTTTTATAATCAATGCGATCACTTTTGGATGTTCACAGTTTGAGGATAAATGATGTTTGGATTTTTTTAAGTGCAACCTGTATATAACATTACTGTACAGTATATATTTCTGAGCAAGTACAACTCGTGAGGAGCCACAAACGTACTCTTGATGTATGCAAAACCTAATTTTAGATTACAGCATCCCTATATATACAGTATATCCGAAACAAAAATTGAGAATGCCAAAACAAATTACAATGTTATGAAATACATAGTGGATACTTGTTTAGTACAACTCACTAGCAGCAACAATATTGAAATAAAATATATACTGCACTGCGTAATTCCCTATCATTGCTAAGTGTTGCTTCAATGTGACCTCCAAAGTGTAAATAGTACACAGCCACATTCCATTGACAGAGCCAGGTCAGCAGAGCTTGACACAGTGATGGAGGCGTGATTAATCAAGGAGTGCCTATTTCTGCTCCTACTGTGAGAAAAACCCAGACAGTTTAACCAGATTTTGGAAATAAAAGTAGATTACAAAATGTGTAATGCAGATTTAGCGGTGACAAAATCATACCTAAAAGCTTGTACTGTGCTGTACCTCATAATAAAACACTCAATATTTTCATTTATATGTACACCTTTACATTTATCCCCCACAAATACCCTTTTAAAGCAAATTGACAACTTTTTAAGTGGTATCATGATTCTTACTAATTAAACATTCATCCACTTGAAATGCTAGGGCTAATTATATTGAAGATATTCTTAATATAAATCATTGTACCTCTGACGATACTCTGGAGAAGAGACCGGATGGCAAGAGCAAACTTCAACTCTCCGGATGACATCTCGGAGATGGTCGGAAGGAGCTGATCGTAAAGACGAACTCCTTCTGTTGACTCGGATAATATGCGAAACACCTGGAATAAGAAAAATTTTTTAAAAATAAGCATAATATATTTGTACATGTTCTAGGTATTCGGTTCTAACTACAGGGGCGAACAGAAACACTCGTAGAATTCTATTTTGCTGGTTGGTGTAGGTAGGTCACCACGAGGTCAGGTCTTATATAGCGGAGATAAGCGTGGCTTAATAGTTGACCTCCGTCGTCTAAGGCGGCGCTGGTTGACCTAGACCACGACGCATACGCTGGGGAATTCGCGGGGTCGGCTACTCTGCGACAAACAGCGTTTGTAGGGGAGGAATCCACTACGATACTCCCCCCTTCCCTCCAGGAGACTTGTTGTCTGCAGGGTTGCATGGCACATGCGAGGCAAAACGGCGGTGCATGCGAGACATAACGGCGAGGGCGTGAAAGACCCGGCCGCTAGGGGAGACAACTGTCTCGAGTCTAGACACACGAGATCTGTGGGAGAAAAAGGGTGTGGGGGGGCGATGAATGTTGTGCTTCTGTCGCTGCAGGGGCAGCGTCCTCATGATCACTGGGTCAGGGGCGACGTCAGGAGGAGGGTCTATAATAGGAGCAGGGTCTACAACAGCAGGTGGGAGTGCCGGAGGGAAAAAAACAACGGCGACGAATGCTGTGCTTCCCTCTCGGCAGGTACAGAGTCCTCAGATGCGCCTGCTGGGGTCGATAGGACGTGGTGCTTGGGGCAGGAAGAGGAGCTGGTGTCTGCTTAGAGTAGCAGAGCTGCTCTACGGTGTCTAACCTGAGGTGTAGAGACAGTACCTGTAGAGCCGATGAGAGCTGCCTCTGTGTGGATAAGCCAGTCTTCCATGTTGCTTGAAGACTGGGAGAGTGATCGGTTTCTCCTCCATCCTGTGTGAGTGCGAATCTCCGGGGTCACCATTTGTGGGGTTATGAGATATTGGTTGGAGAAAGGAAACTCACAATGTGCTCTCTCTATACATATTGTATTGGATGTACAGAGCAGCTTGGTGCTGGGAAGTGGCAGGTTGGTTACAAGCGTGATGTACAGAGATCTGGTTGGTGAGGGTGCTCAGAGGAGGACCAGCTTGTGGCTCGCCGACGGAAGCGAGGGCCGCCAGGCAGGAGCGGAGGAGGTGGTGTAGGTAGAAAGAGGTAGGTCACCACGAGATTAGGTCTTATATAGCGGAGGTAGCCCACTACAATACAACAAGACGGCACTCCCTACTCTATCAACAACCGAGCCCTCAGGCGACATGTAGCAGCTTCCATATGTCGCCAGGCACATTATCTAAGCGTGTGGGACATAACAAATGCATTGCCACATGCTGCTGGCTAGGCTAAATAAGTAGTATATATATATAAATGGAATACATAATATACATACAACATACACATATAACCCCCCCCCCTCTATACGCTCATAGCAAAGTCTTGAGCGGACCTTTTCTTTTGGATCCGTTCTGAGCGTCGAGGGACTTGATCACTGGGGAGGACACAGGACTCAACACTGGTGACGGGGTCAGCAGAAGGCGTTGTTACGGGGCGGAGAAAACGGCGGTTACCTCCACCACACGCGACCACTGGGTAACAGCACCTGGTAGTCCCGTGATCTACCGAGACCCATGACTACGCCCCCTTTGTCCTAACGTAGGGAGATAAGGTCCTGAACACGGACTTGGGTGCCGACACTCAACTTGGGGAGAGAACGGGCGTGGTAGTATTAGCGGGCGACGACGTCACGAACTCGTTCGGCGGCCGCAATCCTCTGTCTTAACCTGCCACTCCTTGGAGAAGGACTGAGCGTGAGCAGGGATACAAGACCTGGGCAGGGGAGCATCCGGTGTAGCTGGGTTGTTGCGGAGTTCGAAGAGACCCCGGTCGAAGGCCTCGCAGTTGAGGATATTCCCAGAAGTGGCCACTTTGAGGATGAGGTGCTTCAGGGATTTGACAACAGCCTCGGCGTGGCCGTTGGACTGCGGGTAATGGGACGGTGACAACACCTGCCGGACTCCCCGTCGCTCGATGAACGCAGCAAAGTCCCGGCTTGTGAACTGCAGCCCTCCGTCGGTGGAGGTGGGGGAGAGGAGGTGGGAGAGTGCAAGTAGGGGAGTGCAGGTGAGGGAGTGGAGGTGTGGGAGTGGAGGTGGGAGGAGTGCAAGTAGGGAAGTGGAGGTGGGGGAGTGGAGGTGGGGTAGTGGAGGTAGGGGAGTGGAGGTGGGGGAGTGGAGGTGAAGTGGAGGTGAAGTGGAGGTGGGGGAGAGTGGAGGTGGAGGGGAGTGGAGGTGGAGGGGAGTGGAGGTGGGGGGAGTAGAGGTGGGGGGGAGTGGAGGGGGGGAAGTACAGGAGGAGGTGGGGAAGTACAGGTGGAGGGGAGGGACCAAACGGGGTCACGGTACTTCGGACGGGAAGCACCTAATACTCGAAAAGCGTTACGAGGGACAGACCATCTACGTGTCGCATACACTCCCGGGTCCTTCTCGTACGGTATTTTGGTCTCCGTTAATGACGTTTCTTCGTCCGGTTGGGACACGTGACCTAGGTGCATCCTCCTACATTTAGTATTCACTTTTATCTTAAGAGCCATTCTTTTGACCTCTCCTGAACCTGACAGTCTGTTTGAGTCCCAATTTCCCTAAAGAACTTAAGTGTTGTCCCAAAATACTGGTACAGAGAAGTTAATATCGTATTGTCCCGGAGTACGATGATAACCACATAGTCATGATGAAGGTTGTACGACATGGTTGAGAAAATATCACTTATTAAATCAGAAAATATTTGACATCTTCAGGGTTGATTTCATACTGAAGGAATAAAGATGCTTTCATTATAGTACAGTAAACTCCCTCTAGCCCGGACTCGCTTAATCTAGATCCTCTTGAAAACCGGCCTGGGGTCCAGCACCGGACACAAGTATCCCCGACCAAAATCCAGATAGCACGGGGGAAAGTTGATGTAATCGGGGGTTCCAACTGTGGTGGCACAGAAGGGTAACCATGTCATTAGCAGTGACAACTGAAAAATCACACTTCTCATCCACTTAAATAACAAACAACAATTCATCTATGACAATACTCATTGCAGAATCAGTAGCTGTGACGTGTAATATTTTGTTATTTGATCACTAACATAAAATATGATACTATAGGTATACAAACAATTCACTTACTGGATTGTCTATTTACTGGAATTTGCATCTAAAAATTAAATTATTTACCTATTATACAGTACAGTACAGCATTGATTACTGTCAAAATAACAATATTTTGAAGTTGCACTGAATTCACATAAAATTTCCCACTTTTTCCAGCCTCCGTTAAAATTGTTTGCCATTTCCAGACCAGTAGACACCCTCATCATCCAACTGAGTACAATTTAATCAATGCATCACAACATGATTTCATGGATAGAATATTCTGCTGACAAACTTAAGTCATTTTCATTGAATTTTTAACAGACCACATGGACCAAGGTCTACCAGTGGATGTGTTGTACGGTCAGTCAAAAGGAACGAGTTTCTGACTCGACTGTCTCTCGTTTGATGCGGGTGTGCGGTTTCATTTTATTTGGGGTTCAACAAACTTTTGGACCATGGATGTATGTGCATTTCTCTAGGGCACTTGATAAAGTCTCACATCCACTACAAGCTGGCCAAGTTCTCATGTTGAACAAATATAAGGAAATACTACTTTACACAGACTGGTAGACCTATGGAATCAAGAACAGTACTGGACTACAAAAGAAACCTTGACAAAATTATCAAGAACAATGCAGGGATCTTACATAACCCACTGGTCTCCATCCCTTGGCATAGCCACCTCTATTGGGTGGCCATTAGATAAAAACAGACTCAAAGGAATACACGTGTAAAAAAACACAAGTGTTACCGCCACAGTAAGATAAACTAGAAGAGAACGGATATAGTGTTGACGACGAATTAGCCGAGGTGCTTCAATACGAAACGGATGGCCCTCGAGGGTAGTCCACCGATTTCTACGGGACAGACGACACGTCGGTTCGGACCACTAGACCCTAAGACGTGAGCGATCGTGAAGTATTAGAATCTGCCAAGAAACTCTAAATAACTTTAATAAGTATATTTATGTACTGTAATTTGATCTGATGTATCAACAGTTATAAAACGCGAGTTATATTTAAGATGTTAACAGGCTATGTACTGTACATAGGTTGTATTATTCATACTATGTATCCCGAGATAACAGCATTTGTTATATGAGAATTGTTCTTTGACCGAATTATGTGGTACCTGTCAACGTCGAGGGTTTATTTCTCCAGCGTCAAACCAATAACGCTCCTATGAGCGTTAACAGCAAGTACTGTACTGTATTAGAATAGGCTTATACACCTAACGAGAACATGTGAAATAACAGTTACTCACCTCCCACAGGTCAGCTGTGTTTCATCAGTTGTCATTGGTGCCGTCATAATATATGGGTCTGGACACTCAGTGGACAGTGTGTACAGTTGAGTCTGTACTGGTCATACCGAGATGTGTTGCTGGTCCTTCAAGCTTCCTGGAAATGTAACCAATAACTATATAACACACAACACTGTAAAACATTATAATGAGTAAAGGTGAAGGAGACCGTTAGCACCAGAACAAAAAAAAACTCATGGAATTGAACCCAAATTTTTGGAGATACTATTTGCATGATATTGAACACAAAAAATGGAAACAAAAATGAACAGGACCCAACACAACCTAACCTTACCAAAGAAACTTATTTAACCTAATCTAATTTCAGTCGGGGGTTCTGCATATTATGCAAAAAATAAAAAAATTAAATAAATAAATAAACTTTCTTTGATGGAAGCAACTTCCGGGGACGAGATATTTGCCGGTGTCCAAACGACTTTCTCAAACAGAAAAATCCCTTGTCCTCGGATTTCTTTTTTTCGGTTACCGGGAAAAGTTTCCCAGAGACTAAACAACACAGACAGACACTAGCCCACATCCCAGAATGTTTCTGGGTGCTGGGGAAAGATTTCCGGGAGTCTAAACTACCGGAGTCCGTATAAGCAGTTCTAATTATGTTAGAAATTCCATTTCTTTACTAGAATAATCCCGAATTGTTGATCTAAAAGCTTAGTTAAATAAATATAATTAAAAAACTACAAATCTTTGATACGGTGTTACAACGACGACGGGTATTTCCCAGTCACACTGAGCTGTGGGGGTCTCCTGTTACTGAACAGACATGATGCAATGTCAGGTGGAGGTAGGGTGGACGATGAGTGGTCTCAAAATACTGACCTTCTGATGCAATGTCAGGTCACCCACAGTTGGGTCTCATGACCTGACAATGTCTTGAATAAACACATAAGCTAAGGTGCTCCAGTGTTTCCCACTTACAGTACAGTACTGTATAAGACATCACCAATTCCCAACAAGTGGACAGGGCTTTGAAGTAGATGGAGAATGTGGGGTAAGATACTAAAAATAACAAACCTTTGAAAACCTGACCTAACCTTCCTTAATCTATAGAAAGGTTAAAAATCACTTTCAAGTTCATAGATCCCCTCCCCACCTGAACACGGAAAACTTCAACACATTAAACAACAACAATAAGGTGCTGTACGTGCTTTATAGTTTTAGGATTTTTATATAGGTCAGGTCAGGTCAGGTCAGGTTTTCAAAGGTTCGCGTATTGTTCTTTTTAGTATTTTACTCCACATTTTCCCTCTTTCAAACCCTTCTCCACTTTGAGCAACTACCGTAATATTATTGGTACTTTTATCGGCTAAAATACTCGAAAAATATAATACTGTACTCGCAATACATTGTCAATCCAAACTGTTATACAACCGAAAACAGATCCACCAATCCCGCCACATGCCCAGTCGGGCCCTCGGCAATCCTCGCCGCCACCTCCAGCTCATGCACAGGTACACCAAGTTGGTTCTATGGAAACAATCACTCTCCGTCTGGATCGCCACTCCAAGCAAATCAACCTTCTCTCAGCCCAACTCGACTTGTTTGTGAAAACAATTGCGACATTGCAGAAGCAACAACAACTCATTCTGGACACCCTGACCCAACAGGGGCGCACTTTGCAAGCCCTGATAACCCGCCTCCTTCCATCTCCCGAGATGGAGGATCCATCCCTCGCTCTCCCACTCCTCCCTCTCCATTTCTCTCAACAGAATTTGGTACCTCCTCTGGAGCCCTATCTAGCCCCTCCGACTCATCTCACACCGGAGGCCGTTCCCTCCTCTTCTTACAATGGACTTAGACCTCGCCCAGTTTGTGCTCTCCCATCAAGAAGATGTTGCTCTACTTCAGGAAACCATCACAGACGATGTTACTCCACTCCGCCTCTCTGGCTATTCTGTTTACACCCTCCCTCGTGGCCTCCTCACCCTTGTGCGTAACACCATTCCATCTGTTCGTCTCCCTTCACCTGACTCACATGGACCCCCGTCTGAATTACTTTCTGTCTCCCTTACTCTTGGTGACCTGACCCTTCGTGTAGTCAATGTTCATTTCAAGAGTGATTCTCTGGACCCCCAGGTTCTTCACGACCTCCATGATGGGGTTCCCACTATTGTTCTTGGCGACTTTAATGCCCGCCATCCCACTCTTACTCCGGATCATCCCACTCCATGTACCCTTAATGGATCACATCTCTCACAGTTTCTTAATGGGGATGATGATGTTCGCTTTCTTTGTCCTGACGATCCTACTCGCCTCCCCCATAGTTTCCTTGATGTTGGCTTACTATTGAACGGTCATACCTCCTTTCATCCTACCTTCTGCACCGAGCCTGCTCTGTATAGTGACCATCTTGCCGTTACTACCCATCTCAGGCTCTCCTTCTCTGCCCCGACATCAACTCCTTATCGATCCCCTCGCCTTCGTCTCACACAAGATGCTGTTCCTTCCTTTACCCAATACCTTTCTACCTGGGCGGATTCCTATGTTGTCCCTTGACTCTTACAGCGCTGATTTTGTTAATGCCGTGTATGACTCTGTCAATCGCGCTACCCCTCCCCGTCACCCAAGAAGTGCCACCAACTACTGGTATCGTATCCCTGCCATGAGACATCTCCGGCAGGTAACCCGTGATCTCCACTCTGCCATACGGAGGTCTCGGTCTCCAGAGGACTGGGAAGACTTCAAAAATTGGTGCTCCTTTGCAACTCAGGAGCGCCGTCGGATACGTGAGGCGGACTGGCTATCCTTCACGGGATCTCTATCGTTCCAGTCGTCACCCTCTTATGTATGGAATCGGATTAATGCTATACGGGGTACTCGACGGAGGCCTCCCTTGCCTGCTCTTTAATGGAGGACTGGGCACGAGCTTCCTCCCCTGAGGCCCGCATCGATGCGTCTGAGCCTGTTGTTCGTGCTGCTCTTACCTCCCCTGCCCTCACTGATCATCCCATCACACAGTTCGAGCTTGACAGTGCTCGTCGCTCTAGAAAAGACACCTCTCCTGGGGATGATCAGATAACCTACTCCGTCCTCAACGCCTGTACTAATATTCCTAACGGCCCCTTGCTTGCTCTCTACAATATGTCTTATGAACATGGGGTTCTCCCGTCCAACTGGAAAAAGTCACTATTATCCCCATCCCTACCTCCTGTGTTTGCAAGATGATGGAGAGGGTACTCCATCGTCGCCTTCTTCACACCATAGGCGGCTTCCACAACTCCCTCAATGGTTTCATTCAACATCGCAGCACAGCACACTCCATTGCTTCCTTTTATTGCAATCAGACTGCCCGCGTCTCCGTCTTCCTTGATATCAAGGGAGCCTTTGATACGGCTCAGCCTGCCCTCATTTTAGCTGAACTTGCACGGTTAAAGGGAGACTTCTACAATGGATCGCCTCTTACCTCACTGGACGTCAGGCCCGGGTTCGCGTTGAAGGCTCTATGTCTCCTGTTCAAGAAATGAACCTCGGCACCCCTCAAGGTGGAGTCCTGAGTCCCACCTTGTTTAACACTCTCGCACTCCATTGCATCACTCCCGTGGCCGACAGAAGTTGTCCACTCAGGATATGCCGACGATGTCCTCCTCCAAGCCCTTGATCTGGTCTCCAGAGAGTGTGATTCACTTGGTTTCCTTCTTTCAACTGCGAAAACAAAAGCCATGTGGCACGGTCGTGTTGTACCTCCACCCCTTTTCTTATCAGGAACGCCCTTGGACTGGGTTAATGAGACAAAATACCTGGGTGTGTATGTAACTCGCACACGTTGTCAGATCCCTGAAGTCCGCTATCTTCGAGACATAGGTTTTCGGCGTCTCGCTCCCCTCTCTACCATGTGCAGGGGTTCCCTTGGTGCCAGCATCCCTGTACTTCTCACCATGTACAAGTCTTTTGTCCGTTCCTGTGTCGACTACGCCGCCCCTGCCCTCGTCAACATTAGTCGGACTGCTGTCAACCGTCTCGAAGTTATCCAGAGGAAAGCTGCTCGTATCATCCTTGGGGCTCCTCAGTGGACACGCTCTACTTCTCTATATAACGAACTTGGTCTTTCCCCCTTACAGGATCGTGTCCAGGAGTTTTACCTAAAAACTGCCGTCTCCATTCTACGGGATCCTAGGGGCAACTATGTCCAAACCAACTTGACTACTGCTGTTCGAGACCGACCTCCATCTAGAAGACAGTGGCGAGGGTCACTCATCCGAGCCCTTCAGGAACATGACCTCCTGCCTGATATTGTTGTCACCCCTGCTGTTGGTTCGTCTCCTTCTCCCTGGCTGGATTTTCAACCTGAAGTGATTGCCCTCGGTGGACCGCTCCCGAAATCCCAGGTGAACCCTGTTATTCTCTGCAAATACCACCTCTCCAGGATCGCTCACTGGTCCCCAGGTAGGGTCGTCCTCTACACTGATGGTTCTGTTGACCCCGCTACAGGTAGGGCCGGGGCTGGTGTCTACATCTCCCGTCCTCATGCCCCTGAGCCTATCAAACTGTCTCTCAGAGTTTCTGACGGGGCATCCTCCACTCAGGCTGAACTAATAGCCCTCCTTGCTGCCCTTCTCGCTGAGGAAGAAGCAGATGGTTTCTGCCCCTTGCTTGTCTGCTGCGATTCCAGGTCTGCTGCTCTCGACGGGATCGCATTTGGATCTGGGGAAAATAAGGACCTCATCCTCCGAATACGAGGGTTAACATCCACACTTCAGGATGAAGGCCGTCCTGTGACATTCCTATGGATACCTAGTCATGTCGGTATCTTGGGGAATGAGGCAGCAGATGACCTTGCCAAGACTGGCTGCAACAAGGCCACACCTGACTACGTTGTTCCTCGAACACTCTTACAGATTAGGACCCAAATCCGCCGCAAACAGAGAGAAGCTCGGGAAGCAGCCATCCCCCTGGACTCCCCGCCCACATGGTACGATGTCCTCCGTAAACTTCCTGACTTCTCGTACGTCTACGGGAAAGGGTCGCGGAAGGGGGACGTGATTGCTGCCCGTATCATCATTGGGTATGACTTTGCTTGGGAGATTGGTATCCCCACATCCCCTGAGCAACGCTCTTGTGCGTTATGCAGAAGACCCGACAGCCGCACCCTTATTCACTACCTCCTAAGATGTCCCCACACACAACGCTTCCGTGACGCCTGCTGGACCACCACTCCCTGACGGAGACACGATGATCCTCCCAATACTGGCCAGATATTTTGTAAATAATATTAATTATGTGTTAAAGGAACATCCTTCCTTCCTTCCTTAGGCTTTAGTAAGCCCCTTTATAATATTTATACTGTATATACTTTTCACACTTGCCAGATGATTCTGGTGTCATTGTACAGGGGTACCTAGTGACAGCACTAGGATCCCGCTTCCTCTATCAAGGAATAAACAATTGAAATTGAAATTGAATTGATCCACCAATCACCTTTACATACAGCCTTCCATCACCAAGTATCGACAGGTAAAATTGCGAGCACGAGAACCAGGGTGGGGATCGCTGCATCTTCGGCCGACTGTACATTCAAAACCTACGACTTTAAGCCGCTTATTAGTCATACAATTTCTTTTTAAACTAATTATCATTTTATAGTCGACACTCGTAATTAGAGCAAATGTGCTAAAAAATTATTTAAAACTTAACCACTTACTGTATTGCAAAAAAATAATGCGTTGGCAATCTAGTCTTCAATATACGACTAATTTTGATTTTAACCCCAGGGGAATTATTTGTCATCTTGCCACCGCCGATAGTTTTTTTTTTTTTTTTAACGATAAAAATTCATACTACGCTCCCTTCCTGCAAGTCACAAAAATTATACGTGCTCACAATATCAACCCCCCCCTCCCAACTACTGTCACGCGACCATTCCATTGATTCTATAACTGCTATCATGCCATTATCCACACTCCCCTCGTTTCACGCTAATAAACCACGTTCTAACGCTTCCCTCACAATACGTACTGCACATCAACTAAAATATGTATTAACTAATCAATTATTATTGAAAAAGTACTTGTAATCGAGACAACACCATGTTTTGTATTCAACACTAAATTAAAAATATACTCTACAACAAGTACCACTCAACTCATGGCTCACCCATGTCAATATGGTTATTCATGTCAAATCCCTATCTTTTCCTCGCTAAGTAAACTCTCGACATCCATTATCACTTACCTGCTGCTGCTGCTGCAGTCTTTACTCCTCTTATATCTCCGGTCGCTGTCGGGAGAGTTATCTTCTTCGCCACTTTCTCTCTGATTTATGGCAACACTATATCCAATCTTAAAAACACAAACCAATATTGTTTACTACTTTACACACTGCATCTTTGATTCTTCTCAATGATTTTCAATATCCCACCACAACCATGTACACGCATAAATACATTTTTCTCAAATATTATAATATACACTGATTTCAAGTTGGTATCCAGACAACTTTAGCTCGAGTCAGGCCGAGAGAATATTTCAATCTCCAAGTTGTTACATCTAATTACATAATCTTCATGCTCTCGTGAATTCACTTTCCGTCACGAAATGTCAACACAATCCACTTAAAATTTTCGAATCACTTAGCACGATACAAACTCACATTAATTTTATTTCAAGTAAACTACCGTTTTCACCACAATATTATGAACACATTCAAAATCTCGCTAGTTAACCACGCTTCTTAAATAGGTTTCACAGGCCTCAAGTCAAATACATCTATGAATTGTACGACTTGTGTTAAAGACCTCAGAAAAACGTTTAAGAAAACCGTTCAAGTGCAGGAAACCAACAGCCGAACGAACAAATGTCTTGGCACAACTTTATATACAATTTTCTTTTCTTCTTCACAAACTGCATCTTCTAATGTAGCTATACACGAATTCTACCACCAGACACAAGGATCTGATTGTAACTGATGCATCCTTGCCGGTTCAACCTTTAAATACCCCACCTTGCCGCCGACTCGCTGCCGAACCGTCAAATTATTTGCTCTCTGCTCACCGAACCCGCTCATTCGAATAACTTCAAATTTTCAGCATTTTGTTCTTCACCTTGGCGTCATAGTACAAGGATACATTGAAAACTCTGGTGTAATCTTCAACATTATTCAAACAAAGTCCATTTCATGAAATATAGCCAAAGTTTCCCAGCTCAAAACTGCCAGATTCGTGCTTTCCGGGACCCCGAACTTCTTCTCCGGTAAACACCGTCACAACCAAACGAGGGAATTATCCGAGATAAACTGCTCTTGTGTATTTACACCATAGACATAAGTGGATCACAGAATTTGTGAAAAGCTAACGAACCAAAAAGTTATGATAGCAACTCACAGCCTACGGTGGCAGTATCGTAGTCAATAAAGTTTTCTTCCAAGATGGAAATAACAAGATACCCTACAGTCAGTCACTCACATCTCCATTCCTTGGTGAGAACTATCAACGGTGAATTTAATAAAGTCACGACCCGAGTAATGTTTTCCCATTACCGTCAAATACTTTACGTACAGTATATATTTATAACTTAATTATAACAATGTAAAACAAAAACATCGTGGTAACATTCTATACTGTGCCATTTTACGTGTACTAATCCACATGCTACTAAATGTTATATAATAATTCCTTGACATAAATGTACGCTATATTATCAGGTACCACCGGACGGAATACCCCCTCGTGTTCTGAGGGAGTGTGCTGACTGCTGAAGCCCTGGCCCCTGTGCTCGCCTTTGCCTCAAAACGAAAACTTTTCCTTCTTCTTGGAAGCATGCCTTGGTTCAGCCCATCCCGAAGAAGAGTGACCATTCTAATCCCTCTAACTATCGCCCCAACTTCATCCCTCTCTAAGATTTTCGAAACTATCTTGAACTCCCATTTTCTCCGTCACCTTGAACGCCTTTCTCTCTTGTCGGATCACCAGTATGGCTTTCGCCAGGCAAGATCTACTGGTGATCTGCTCTCCTATTGCACCCATCTGTGGTCATACTCTCTTAGGGATTATGGGGAAACTTTTGTCGTGGCCCTCGACATCTCCAAAGCATTTGACAGGGTATGGCACAAGTCTTTGCTATCTAAACTTCCCTCTTTTGGTTTCTCTCCCCCACTTTGTTCTCTCATCTCTAGCTTCCTTGAGAATCGATCCATGGCAGTTGTTGTCGAGGGATCGCTCTTTCTCTACCAATAGTGGCGTCCCACAGGGTTCTGTTCTTTCACCAACTCTCTTTCTTCTTTTTATCAATGATTTACTTCACACTACAACTAATTCTATCCATTCTTTCGCCGATGATTCTACTCTTCACTCTTCCTCACATTTTCCCCTTCCTCCTAACTCTCAAACTAGATCTGTTTCTAGAACTGATATCATTACTTCTATCAACGCGGATCTGTGCAGCATCTCTGAATGGGGAGATACAAACTTGGTTAAGTTCAATAGTAACAAAACTCAATATTTACCAATTACACTTTGTACTATAGGAACAGAAATGGTTGATTTAAACTATTGCTCCAAACTGCACCACACCCAAAATATATACCATAGTGCCATCTTTGACATATACAGTAAATGAACTTTTGTAAACTGTACTGTACATACTTAATGTCACATGATGTGGCAATGTTTGTTTGGTCAAGTGATGTATAGTGCATGTCATTAGTGTAACGGTCGGTGCCAAATCGTCGTTATTTGGCGCCATTCATTTTTAGATATACCTGTATCTCATTTATGAGACATTGTTTATCTAAGCCAAGAGTTGTTACGTCTTGCATATTTCATCTCCGTCGTCAGAAAATGTAACGGCGCGATGTTGAGCAATTTGTTGCCAGACTATGGATGATAGATAAGATCTGTCCATATCATATTAAGTCTTCAACACAAGATATTTATTGTCAACTCTAAATTAAATATGTTGTGAATAAAACTTTTCAATTTGGTCTTGTCTCGTGTCATGCCTTTATACAGGTGTGTTACCAAAGTCAGAATAAAAGATTGTCTCCGGCCAGCTTTTTTCTTTTATTATGTCCAGCAATACCATGAAGTGCCAGTGCCCTTATCCACTGATATACAGATTGACCAAAAACATGGTGACTGCACTATGGGGGCGAACTAAAGTAAGACCCCCCCTTACATGAACATAATAAGCAGGTAGTTGAGTTTTGAGATTTGCCTCGAAAAATCAAATTTTGTAAAAATAATATTAACAGTAGCTAGAGAAGACGATGATGACGAAGATGATTTCCAAGACATAGATACAATTTCAGAAAACTAAACGACAGTAGAGAGGGAACTGCCAACATTTTAACTAGAGGTGGAGGAGCCAGAACAATCACAATGGTCCTCCAAAATACAGGTACAATAGATATTACGGAGCAACGTTACAGATTAAGTGGTCTCCCAAATACAGGAACTACAGGAAAGTCTGGATAAGGTTCCAAGATCATTGGTCTCCCAAGAAGATAAATAACTGGATGACATGACAACCCAGCAGCCACACGTAGCGTCAACAAGCAGTAGTGATGATAAGCCTGAAGAGCCAAGTGAAAAGATACTGTGGTTAAAGTGTTTTTTATTTATTTGTGGTGTGGTAGTAACGGGTTGTGTTATATACTAATTGTGGGATAAGATCTGATGATCGATTGCGATAATTACACCCCTGGGGAAGCAACAATTAAGTCTGGGATTAGCACAAGTAAAGAAATAAGCCCTGGCTTCTCTTGCCTTACACATCCAGTATATAGTGTACATCCAAAGTGCATTTCTACACCCAAGTCTAAACAATAATGTGTACTGAACAACTTCCCTTGTTCATGCTCATCTTTCCCTCTTCTGATGTTCTGTCAGTGAATATATTACTTTCATTGATCTCTCACTTAAAATATTATTCCCTCACCTGACACAACCTCTCCCGGATATCTGAAGAAAAAAATATCTCTGCCTTTCTATGCCTTTCGGTAGTGTGCATACAAGACCGATGCATATAATTCACAATTCAACACACACACACATACAGATTGATATTCTGAATTATGTGACACAATCGTCTTCATAAGCGAGTATTGTCCTTCTACTCTCACACACACACAGGTTGGATCAACAGCATGGAAATCCTTCATGAGTCAAGCGTGTACAAGGATTCCAGGCAGCCTACAAGACCTAAAGACTCTGGTTGTGAGGCATCCTCTTGGTCGTCTGGTTTCAGCTTACAAGTAAGTTGGTGAAACCTTGGTAATAAGAGTTAGCTTGTCTGTACAGCCTAAGAATAAGTTTCATCCAATCAGAGTGTTGTTTACTTGTACGCTTCACCATTGTCTACTCATGACTCACGAAAATATTTTGAGTTCATACTTATAGTTTTCTCAGTTGATATGGTATAAAAGTTTCATTATCGGTAACTATCATCATTAAGATTCAAATGTGATGGCTCTCTTGATTTTTAATTGTTGATGACTTAGTGTATTTACTAACCTAGAATACGCTCTTCATAAATATATAATAACTTCAACAACATTGTTCTTTCATTATAGAGACAAGTACCTAAATGGGTCTCCACTTAATACCTACGACAAGGCCTACAGGAAAGTAACGGGAAGTCATCAGACGTGGAATGATAGATGGCAGGAATACTGGCTTCCAGCTCTCATACACAAAGGATCCGTCGCACCTTCCCCTCAGTACCTCACAACACTAAAAAAGGTTTCGCAGGCATATGGCTTTCTGACAGGGAAGCGTTTTGGGACGTTTAGCCGCCATCGTCTTAATGAAACCAAGAAAGCATCGTCTAACCCCGAGAGAAAGTTTATAACGTTAGCCAAGAAGATGCTGACAGTAGGCAAACACGTTGGTGTCGTTGCTGCTGTCAACATTGGGTACTCCGCGACGGAACAAAGTAAACTAAAGAAGTATTTCAGTAACGCCTCCTTCACTATGGCAGAGTTCCTTGAGCACGTATTATGGACCAGGGACGTGGACCTGTTGGACCATCACTGGACCCCCATTAGCCAACTGTGTGGTCCATGTACAGCTGACTACAAGTACATCGTGCGGCATGAGAACCCCAAGGAAGCGGAGTACCTTCTGGGCCTCCTGCACCTTCAGGAAAACACCATTCCGAGGAAACACAAATCCATCGGAGCATTACATGATAAGTCTGACCTTCAGTACTTTGAAGACGTCCCCAAAGACTTAATGGCCATAATTATTGATATGTATAAACAAGACTTTGATTTGTTCAGTTATGATAAAATCAGTAAATAAAGTAAGGAAAATATAGATATAGCAGACAACCTTATGTTAAGTTAAAAAAAAGGTCGACAAGAAGATAAGGTGAAAAAAAGAACAATTTTAACATCTGTATTGTTAACTTCTCTGACCCACTCACTGCAGTACACAGATAAAAACAACAGGTTAATAAGATGAGAATTAAAACGCCATCTACATACAGTACATAGCGCCGGCACAGTGGTCACCAACCCTCCACAGTTCCTGATAATAGAGACTGTGTTGGCCACTAAGGAGAACCCTTTCTCAGTAAACAACGGGACTTCCTTGAACCTTTTCTGTTAAGTAAATTTCCTTTCGTCTTCATAGACCATTTTCTGTGATCTTGTCATGTATGAATTTCGTGTTTTATCATATTTCTGATATTGACATTAAAAAAATTATTTAGCTAGAAAAATACAGACGCTGTGCAAAGCGGACAATGACAACGTAGACATGACTGAGCCACCATGTTTACTAGTATCATACAGTGTAGTCTTCACTTTAGGTGTATTTAATCTTATGTTTGGTTAGGTTAGGTACTGAGTTCGTGTTTATTGTGTTATGCCATAACTTAGCAACTTTCTTTGATGGAAGCAACTTCCGGGGACGAGATATTTGCCGGTGTCCAAACGACTTTCTCAAACACAGAAAAATCCCTTGTCCTCGGATTTCTTTTTTTCGGTTACCGGGAAAAGTTTCCCAGAGACTAAACAACACAGACAGACACTAGCCCACATCCCAGAATGTTTCTGGGTGCTGGGGAAAGATTTCCGGGAGTCTAAACTACCGGAGTCCGTATAAGCAGTTCTTCTTAAGTTAGAAATTCCATTTCTTTACTAGAATAATCCCGAATTGTTTATCTAAAAGCTTAGTTAAATAAATATAATTAAAAAACTACAAATCTTTGATACGGTGTTACAACGACGACGGGTATTTCCCAGTCACACTGAGCTGTGGGGGTCTCCTGTTACTGAACAGACATGATGCAATGTCAGGTGGAGGTAGGGTGGACGATGAGTGGTCTCAAAATACTGACCTTCTGATGCAATGTCAGGTCACCCACAGTTGGGTCTCATGACCTGACAATGTCTTGAATAAACACAAAAGCTAAGGTGCTCCAGTGTTTCCCACTTACAGTACAGTACTGTATAAGACATCACCAATTCCCAACAAGTGGACAGGGCTTTGAAGTAGATGGAGAATGTGGGGTAAGATACTAAAAATAACAAACCTTTGAAAACCTGACCTAACCTTCCTTAATCTATAGAAAGGTTAAAAATCACTTTCAAGTTCATAGATCCCCTCCCCACCTGAACACGGAAAACTTCAACACATTAAACAACAACAATAAGGTGCTGTACGTGCTTTATAGTTTTAGGATTTTTTAGGTTAGGTCAGGTCAGGTCAGGTCAGGTTTTCAAAG